GCGTGAGTTCAGGCAGAGAGCTTTCATTTCAATGGTCACATCATAGGATTTCGTTCACATACTCAAAAGATGAGTCACCTTATAAATCTCTATCAAACACTCTGGCAGTGAAAGGGTTAATGGGATTAATAAACCCTTCCACGGTTTTTTCAACTTTTTACTGAGAAAATCCGTAGTAGACTGGTAATATCAACAAATACAAACGTCTGTAAAATTTCACGACTTTGTGGAGCAATATATTTGCTCGCTTTGGACGTATCACCTTTAAATTTGGTAAGGTTTCCTAACTTTAAGGCGCTTTTTCCAGCAGTGTCGATGGATTTTCGTTTTCTGCTTTTAGTCAAAAGTTGAAATAAAACGTGGAAGGTCCTATTGCATTATGTCAGGATAAAATGAAGCGGTTTCTAAAGTCGTCTTGAAATAAAATCTGTTCTCTTTGCAGAAAGGACCTGTTACGAATGACATGGTGACGATTTACCGAAATTACGTCGTAGTGTATTCGTTAGGTGAGGTCATCAACGAGGTCGCTATTTGTGTCTACTATTTATAAACGGAATGGCGACCCTGGTACAAGCAACATTGTTTAAATTTTTGTTTGAAATGAAGAAAAGGTGAAATCTTAAAAACTAGTTATTTTGTCAAATGGAAAAAGAATTTCGTTTTCTCCTGTGTCCTCAGTCACTTGTTAATCTTGAAAGATAAATCCATCTACTAAAAGTCTCACGAAGTCTTCTCCGTGTTTAATTTTAATTATAAACAAAATTCTTGGTTTATTTCCACTTAGGCTTTTATTTGATGTTTCCTAGAGTAATTACTACTTTTCACCTCTGCTTCATAGCAACCGACAGCTTTATGCCTTGTAAACAGAGCCTGGTAACTTCAATAAAATAGGTCCTTTACAGCTAGTCATTCTTGTTGCACAAAAGTTCCGTGGGTCATTCGTCCATTCAATTTTTAATTACAGGCTCTGAATTAAAAGAAAATTCAAAATTGAATGTCGTGATCAATTTTTCATTTTTGTTTGTCCAGACTCGCCCCAAGTGACAAAAGTAGCAAGAGAGGAGGGCTCCAAGTGCAAAAGTGCTCAGGAGGGGAGGCTGAAGAGGGAAGGGTCTAAAGTGGGAAAAGGAGGAGAGGGGCCTTTTACTAGTCCATGCTACGTATACCCTCATGTACAGGGCTACTTTGGCCTAGATGGGTATGTGCCGTTGAACAGGTTATGGATGTCTGCCTTATTGGCTTCTGAAAATTTCACTATTTAGCACCTTAACATGGTGTCGCTGGAAAGGTTGTCTAAATGTGTGGTACTAACAATGTTTTTTAAAAAAATTAAATTCTATGATGTTAGCTTAAATTGAAGGCCTCAGCGGCACTCCGCTACCCAAACGTTCCTTGAATGCCCCTTCCCCCCTCGAGATTTACCCTTAAGGGAAGTTCGTTTGAAGGGGATCATGTAAAACATGTCTTAAGACCGCATTTTTTTCCAAGACTTTTAAGGGTTATTATATTGTTTTGATGCACGCTATGAGGAAGTGAGCAGCTAGGCAATGATGACTAATTTGAACTAAAATAAATTCAT